AAGCCGGACAAGTCTATGCGCCCAATTGTTTCGGCTGTAGGTTCTCCGACTTATAATTTGGCAAAATGGTTATCAAGGGAGTTCGAAAATTTACCTGATCATGAACCTTCTTTCTCAGTTAAAAATAATATTGAATTCATTAACAAAATTAAAGATATAACATTGCATGAAGGTGAAATTTTGGTCTCCTTTGTGTATCTTCGTTGTTCCCAAGTGTTCCAATTCCACATACTTTAGGCTACTTAAAAGGAATTACTGAACGCAAATGGTCTCGACAACAAAACTGTGAGTGAATATATTGAGCTTACATCGTTATGTATGAAACAAAATTGTTTTCAATTTAATTTTTGAACAGCAGGGAAGGTACAGCAATGGGTAATCCATTGTCTCCATTTTTGGCTAATTTATTCATGAGCAGGTTTGAAGTGGAGGCTAAGAATCAGTTTGAGTATTTTCCAAGAGTATGGTTTAGGTATGTGGATGATATTTTGCTGTTTTTGATACACATTCAGACACCATAGATAATTTTATTTCTAAGTTAAATAATCGTTTTCCTTCCATTAAATTTACGCATGAAATTGAGAACAACGACAGATTACCATTTCTAGATATATTAGTTATTAGAAATACTAATAATAATTGCCTGGAATTTGATATCTATAGGAAAAATACGACCACACGCAGATATATTCCTAATGAATCACATCATAGTGTTGAACATAAAATGGCTAGTTTAAATTTCTTAGTTCATAGATTGCTTAGTTTCCCACTTTCCAACGAAAGATATGAAATAGAAAGAGATTACATTAGGAATGTAGCTGAGTGTAATGGATATTCTCCTTCACTAGTTGATAAATTAATTAGAAAACGTAGGTATAGGTTAATGATTTCTGAAAATTCGACTTTTCAAGTGGAGAAAGATACGTCTAAATATTTTTCGATACCGTTTGATAGAGAGTTATCCCGTGGTCTAAAAGGAATTTTAAGAATGTCAATTATAAACTTGTGTATAGTGCTAATAATAAATTACAACAATTATTAGGTAATCCAAAAGATAAAACACCTCCACTGGAAAGGTCGGGTATTTATGAAATTTCTTGTAAAGATTGTAATCAAAAATATGTTGGGCAAACTAGAAGATCAATATTAACTAGATTTAAAGAACATTTAGCTCAGATAAGATATGGTAGACCGGATAAATCTTGCGTTGCCGAACATATTGTTGATAATGAACATTGTATAGATCTTAATAATTTAAAATTAATTAAACAAGTCTCAAATTACAGGCAATTAGATGCATATGAAAGCATCAGAATTAATAAATGTAAAGATAGTATGAACAGAGTCAACGGTCCAATTCCTTCAAGTTCTTTGTTCCTACTACTCTAGTGGCGGAAATCTAACTGTTACACTCAGTTGGCTCTGACTCGGTTGGCTAGATTTTGCCACGCCTACTCGGGGCCCACTGAGCGAGTATATAAACGCTCACCTTGTAGATTGTACTTTAGTTTATAATCATCTGCTGATGATGCTAACATGGTTAGCGAAACGCGCGTCCAGTGTAAAAGTAAAAGTGTTTTGGTGTGTTGTGGTGATTTAGTGTTTTTTATTTTGCAGTAATATTTAAAATATACGAAATTCAAATAATTAGTTTTTTGACAGAAGGAAATAAATTGTCTGATGGTTTGACACTTAAGGTCAAAGGAAGCTAGATAGAATCAAGAAAAAATACGCTTTAAAACTAAATCTTAAATAACTTAAAAACGATTTATTTTAGGTATAGGAACATGCATACTCAAAAAGTAACGAATTGAAAAACCTTTTCACTGGTGAGATAAAAAAAGTGGGTTTTTATTTGAAAAAAATGAATTATGATAATTTTTTAATCTCTCAATTCCATGACAGCTACGGCCAATATTATATGACTTTGAAACAATTTAATTTTTGAAATAGATAGCCACATGTCTTCTCTTTATGTTCCAGTGGCTGTTGTAATTAGCGATGGGAACTATCGAATGAATTAGACTATCGAATGGTTACTGAATGAATGATTTCAACTATCGAATGTTTTATTCGAATAAAATCATTCATTCATTTGTATACTAAAGCATATGTGACAACCTCGCCGTGCGACTAAATGGTTATCGTTAAGCCACGACTATCGAATGCTTTTGATAAATGAAATTTAGTATTCGTTTGATTTTTGTGTGCGTCAGTGCATTATTAGTTCTTCCAAATTTTTATAAATTCACCTTATAAATACTGTGCTATTTTTGCGTTTATTAAAATATTTAAAATACTAAAATAGTAGTTTTTTTAAATTGACGATTGTGTGCGTGTGCAGGTGTCAAAATTTTTCAGAAAATTTGTGTGATTTTCCGTAGCCCGATCTTTCAATTATTTTATTTTATATGGTATATATGGTCTATTTTTTAATGGGAAATTTTGAAAAGTAGCAATTTTTAAGAGAGATGAGATGAACTTAGAATTAATTTTAAAAATACATATTTGTATTTTAGATGTTTTAATAATACGAATTAGTTGAACTTAATAATCATATTTAAGTAATGTGGTTAAGTAAATGTGGTTATCGAACTCAAACTATGGGGTGAGAAAATTAAATTGAAAGTTTTCGTGCCAATTTAAAAAAGTTGACGATGTTTGTTTTGTTTATGCTAATTCTCTTACATGTAGTTTTTGCGAAGAAATATTTCATTTATTTTTTAAAAGTAAATGCCAGTAAAAGTAAATATTATTTTTTAAATAGTAATATAAAGTACCTAATATAAATAATTTTTTGATTTCTAATTTTTTATTTATATTTTCCTTCCATTACACTGCTAATAGAAAATTAATAAATGTGTATATTTCATGATATTTCATGATTTTAAAGTTTGTTGTTAATATAACAAATTAGTTCTGTAATTATTATTATTTAATAAACCAACGTTGCCACAAAAAATGTAAAGACTATATTATTTTTAAATAGGATCTAATATAAATAATTTTGACATCTAATTTGTTGTTTATATTTTGCCACTACGTAAAAAAATGTTTGTATTAAATTATTTTAAATTTTGTTGTTATAGCTATAACAAATTATTACTTTTATTGTTATTTTTATTAAACCAGTCTTTGCTTAAAAAAAACATTAAAAATCATTTTCCTACATCCAAAATATTTTATTATCTAACCTAACCTAACCTAACAACAGAATATTAATAAAAAAATGCAAAATATTTATACATACTATCCCTAACTAACTAAAGCCAAACAAAAATATTCTTTGCTAATATCAACTAATACCAATATATGGCAACAGCGCCCTTCATAATGTATTTTCTGTGTAAATACTAGCACCTCGATAAAAAAAAATGTGTCCTTATCTTTATATGACTCCGCAAAAAATCAAAGATGCCGGCTTCTTTCATAGCATTGCCACCGACCGCTGTCGGGTTTCCCGGAAAGAAACCTACGTCGCCGGGCGACAACTAAAATCGAGTAAATATTTTATTATAATCGATCCTGACGAATAAATGAATTTCATAAATGAATGAATTTTATAAATGAATGGTTTTTGCTGCCGAATTACTAAAATATTGCTGCCGAATTACTATCAATATTTCAAGGCAGATGACGCATCTATTCGATAATTTTTATTCGAATAGTTTTCAACGAATGTTTTTTTCTTAACTATCGAATTATTCGAATGAATTGCAACTATCGAATGTTTCGATAGTATTCATTCGATAGTTCCCACTACTAGTGGTAATCACTAAATTTGACGTTTAGGCTATACAAATTTTTTTGACAGGCAGTTTTTTTCCTCCAAAAATTTTATTTTATTTTTCTCAAAAACGGTTAATTTTAGGTATAGAGTGTTTATCAAAATATTCTAGTATCTAGTATATCAAAATTCATAAAATTTTACAGAGAATTTAAGTATGTAATAAAAAATTGGGTTACCCATTTAAAATAAGAAAGTTGCTGTCAACTTTCGGTATTTCTGGAAGTGCCGCCATATTGAAATTATTTTTAATCGATAGATCTCGTTGTGAAACACTGGTGTGCAAAAAATCTCCGATCTAGATATTGTAGTTCTCTAGAAACTTCTAATGAACGCTCAGCCCGGAACACCCTGTATGCCATAAAATAAATATGCCAATTTTGGAATTAACCTAATTTGCTTTAAAAAATAATTGTTTTTAACAAAGTTGCACTTTTTGTTGCCTTTGATGGTAAATTTGACTTAGGAAATTCTATACTCTGTTAATCTGAAATTATTTTTAAAATATTTATATTGATATTTAATTTGTTTGAATAAATAGTTTACTATTAAATAACATTCTGTCTTCTTTGAGGAATATTAAAATTAATATTAATTTTATTTCATATTCTATACTAGACTCGTTTTTGTAAAGTATTAATAAGAAATACATACGTGACATGTGTTTGTTTTTCAGGGGCAAATTATAGTAATACAAAATTTTGTAGCAATCCTACCTATGTTTTTCCATTTTCATCTAGATACCAAGATAGTTATGTGTAAGCTAATAAAATGGTTGCAATATTCGCATCATATTAAGCTAGCACATGGGAACCATCATGTCAAACATTTTTTTTACAACTCCTTATTTTAAGCATAATACCTATGTTATAAGTACCGTATGATAGAAAAAAAACGGCGTCCAGTTGGCGGGGAAATGATGATCGATGACATTTCCCATATAAATTTACATATATAATGACAGCGATCTTCATTTCATAGCCAACGCTGATGCCATTTTTTCTCGATCATACGGTATATCTTCCTATTTAAATATTTCAGAATACATTATGTAAAATTTTTAAGGGAAATTATTTATGAAGTTAACTAAACTTAAATGGTAAATCAATAAAAATTGTTACTTATATGTAAAGATAAATTATAGATATTGGCACAAACGTTCTTTCTACTTAGGAACTTAGGAAAAAAACTGATTGAATTAATTCAATTCCAGGTGGCTTGGGTCCGAGCAGAGGATCAAACTATACTGAGCCTACACACGAAGGTGGTAACGCATAATAGCCGGATTGGTGTGACACATGACAACTTAAATACCTGGCAATTACGAATCCGACAATTGAAGGAATCGGATCGTGGATGTTACATGTGCCAGATAAACACTGCAATTATGAAAATACAGGAGGGATGTCTCGATGTTTACGGTAAGTTAACTAGCAATTTATAGAGTTCAATCCAACTTAATTTGAAGAAAAACATCCATCAAAGTGGATCATATTATATTTGTTTGGTTTCAAGGTCACGCGTTATATTACTGAGCTGCTAGCAACTATACCAATGATGTATGAAATATGTTACATGACAGGTGACAACTGGTATTTAACATTCGAAATTTAATAAATAATGACATATGACTTTTGTCATGTTAAGTTAGTTAGCGTGTTAATAAGCAAAATACCTTTTATAATTTTTTGTTTCTTTTATTATCAATAATAGCCTTAGTAGGCATTTATTAGTATAAGTTTATTAGGCATTTATTAATATAAATATGATCTTTTAATAACAACTTTTAAATATTCCAATAAATAGTGAAAACAAATACAGAGTGATATATATTTTTACAAATCTTATGGCAAGACAGATCACATAATTTATAAATATACAGGGTGTTCCATTTAAGAATACAAAACTTTAGTACATATCTTTAAAAACATCCTTTTCATGGAATAACAAGTCTGTTATTCGCCACTGTATTCTACATAAACATTTCTGCAATAAACAGTTTCCACTTTCTCGATACCTTTAACAATAACAGAGATACAGGGGGTGTCCCAAATTACAAAATTTTCAAAAAAACCTATAGCTCAGAAACGAAGAGGGTTATAAAAATTTTGTTTACGGCATCTTCCATTTAACAAAAAAGTGGGAAAGGTTTGTGCAAACCGTACCCTTCTATCTTCACTAATAACTGAGATACTGTATGATTTCAACCAAAATGGGGCACCCTGTACAAAGTTGGTCATTATAGAACTATGGTTTGGAATTTAACGCGTACGGTAATGAGTTAAATAAAATATGAAACAAATTAATTAGAAACTGAGAGTGAGTTGATCCATTTCTTCTTTGCTATTCCTGGATTTCACTTGAAGAATTTACATGCTGGAACAATAATAATTCAATAATATTAGGTAGTCATTTTACTCAAATAGCATTAGGGCGTTACATAATATGACAAATTATATAGCGTTCTTGCCTAATTAAATTCCAATCCCCCATCTCGTTCATTTTTAACCATGCCTACCCCCGCAGGCGCACGTAGGAATCGCTATCTCCGCACGAAGTTAAAAGGAATACTTAATATATGTTGTTTCTTTCTTTGTTTCTCTGTGTCCTAAGTGGGGGGTTATAAGTAATTCGTATTTATCATTCTCTTTATTTTACTTTTTAAAATATATCCTACGTATTTTGCATGATTATGCATATAGAGAATAAACCAGAATTTTAGTTTTAGATTTTCACTCCAATATTTCATTTAAAATTCACAGGCAATAAATCTGACCTGAAGCGATGTCAGACTTTGTGCAAATTTAGGTCGGGTGCTGGTGATACGACCGGTGACGTCGTCCTATTAAAAGTGACGTCGTTGGATCCGAGTCGGTAAATCCAACGATCTGCCGACGTACAAAATAACAACGTACCATTTGTACTAATTTTCTAACGTCGTTCCCACATTGGCTTGCACGACGTACATATACTTGAACTAGCCCGACGTCTACCTGTTGTCCGAATAGGATACGTCACACTGATAAAATCCCTAAAGTAACGCCGAATTATATTTTGTTGTATTTTATGTTCATATTTATTACCTAATTTACGTATCTCTATTTACGTCCGTAAATATAACCCATTAAGTAGCATTTGTGGCCTAATGAACATCATGAACATAACCTAATAAAAAGTTTTTGTCAACAAACTTAATTTTTTTATTATGCCTAAAAAAACACTAAAAAGGCATTTAGACATTCATCTACATTTTACAGAAAGAGGTCGAGGCTTTTGCAAAATAATAATAATAGAACAGGTAGGTATAGAATACTTATGTTTGTGGTATTAAGAAAGTATTCTCTTCGTTTCAAGCAGTGGTAAAAACTTAATGAGTAATAATCCGGAAGAGATGCTGCATTACACTGGTGCATCTTCATTTCTTTTTTTAGCTTAGGAAACCAGCAGACCGCATCCTCCTCCCACATGTGAGGTACTGGTTCTAATTCTTTTAAATTTTATATATGTATATACTATCTTAAAAAAGTGGCTGTCGATTTTTTTAAGGAGAAAATAAAAACTAAAATATAATTGCACAAATCCACAAATCACTGGTACGCAAAATGAGGTAACGCGTACGAAACCGTTGAACCGTCAACCGTCAAACCAGCGTCAAATATTTTTTGACAACAAACAATTGACCTATCATAGACCAATAACAGACAAAGTCGGGAATCGTTTACCAGGAATACGAAAAATTATATGCTCTGCGGCCGACGACGGATGCTCCTACGTATGCCGGCCGATCGCAAATTTTACCTGGCGTACGTTGGAATTATATACATCATAATAATATTGCCGGTCGTCCGGTTTGATGACTTCAGTCGTGTGAGACGACTAATATTGGAATTGGTATATTGTTAGTTCATATTAAGTCGGACACAGAAATCCGCCATTCTTAACAAGTATCCGATTGTCAGCCATTTTAAAATCGTTTTTTGTTTTTAAAATTTCTATTCACATTCCGATTTCTAGTAGAATAATATTGATAAGGTTGAGTTTGGGGGGAACCACAGTACAGTTTTATAATTAAACCAGCTAGAAAATAAAAAAAAAATATTTTGCGAGTTACTTTTTTATAGATATTTTCATTTCATAAATATACCTAATTTTAAAGGGGCTCGTTGTTTTCCGGAGTATTTTAATCAGATATATCAAAAAAGTGACTTCCGTTGACAAAACTGATGTTTGGATTAATGATTCAGAATTATTATAATATGAAATTAGGTAGGCACTTATAGTTATATTCGAGGAGTGATTATGAATCCATTATGTATTCTTGGTAGCAAATTTGAAACCAAACCTAATGCCGCAACCGCACATGCGATATTCGGCGATCTCCGATCGGGGCTTCGCCGATTTCCTATGTGTTCCTAGTTCGGCGACGAGAACGAGCACTCGTCTCTATGTTGTTGCTATCAGAGCCCGCATGTGTGGATGGAAAGACGAAGTCCGATCACGAGCGTTCGGTTGCGGCATAACGTAAGTGCTTAGCGACGAATTTTAAGTGACTGAAATCCAACGTAATATGACGTTGGTAATTGGTAGAATTACATTCCCTATTAGGTCAGATACCGACGTCGAGGCGACCCGAATCTGTATTCCCCATTTAGGTGCAAATAAGGGTCGTCAGACGGTCGAACAGACGTTGGTATTCGACGCGACGTCGGGTTTATGTAACGCGTTTATGTATACCCGACGTGAGATATCGTCTAAATGCTACTTGGGTTATTATTAGTAGTTTTCAATTTATGCTGAATTAAAATTATATTAACTCACTTATTAACTGGTAAAAACTACAAGAGGAGATTTATTGGGATAAATTTTATATACATACTACATACAGATATAGTTATTATTTATTTCAAGTAGAATCAAATTAGAAAAATGTGTATACCATCATCAGTCTTATTCAACGAACAAAATAAGGTTCTTATTACATGTGAAATGGCGGAGCATTACAAAAACATTAATATAATTAAAGAGAAGCGTTTTAATTTAAACTAAGAGAAAACTAGTTAGAAAGAAAATAAACGATATCTTAACAAAATTGCACTGGATAAAACTCAACTTGATAAATCGCAAACTGAGTACGGGGAGAAAAGCAGGATATTTTCTGCCAGGAATGTTGATACAAGCGGAAAAAGCAATTACTCATGTACTTTAACAGTTCCGTGGAAAAAGTAGAAAAAGAAAATTTTAAAATAAATAACCCAAATAAAACCGGAACAAGAATGAAATAGGTATAAATAAAAATTTAATTTATTTTTTTAAACGAAAATTATATGATCTTCTTCCCGACCTTTGACACAGATCAATGAATAATATCTATTCGAATCAACTTAATAGCGCTATGGTCAATAAATGCGAAAATTAAAAAAAAATGGAGGAAGTAAGCAAATTATTGGACGATTTTATGGAGAATATGAGAAGAGAAAAAGCGAAAGAACAACAGAGACTGCGAAAAGAGAAAACAGAAGGACAAGAAAGACTACGGAAAGAACGAGAAGAGGAACGAACCCGACTAGACCGAGAAAAGGAAGAGGAAAAATTACGACATCAAGAAGAACAGGACAGAGGAAGAACAGAGATCTAGAAGGACTTGAGAACATTTTCGAAAGATGATTGAAATTCAACGACAGCAAGACAAACAAGTAGAACAGAGCCAGAATAGAATAATTTGGAAATTCGTTTGGAGGAACGACGTCAAAGGGAAAGGCAAGAAGATCAGGACCGTCTTAAGAAAACTTGGGAAAATCAGGAATTTTGAGAATCACCTTCAAGAAGCCGTAGAAGATCTAGGTTTAAAAAAACCGTCTAGGACTGGAACCGTCTGCTACTGGAACAAAAATCGAAAAACCTAAAAAATATATTTTGTTGTTAAATGCTATTGCATTAAAATCCGAACTGAAACCAGCTGGCCAGTGGCTTTTTACTCGTAAACAATTTACCTGCGCAACAATAAGAGGATTAACCCTCAACTGGAGTGGTGAATTTTTGTACCGTTTATGGCTTGCAATTTTTTTTTTCATTTAAAAATACATGATGAAGAGATTTTATAAAAAGCTTGTTATTTTAACACTGTTTACAATATATTCAAACTTGTGAACAAACAATTTCTCTCATTAATTTTCAACAAATTAATAAGAATGGACACAAAAATAAAGTAAAAAGTATTTTTAAGGTAAAAGGAATTTTTGACAACAGAAATATAACTTGGCTAAGAAACCCGTGGAAATTCAAAAACATATACAGGGTGGTCCGAACTGTATTCCGGCAACTTCGGCAGCATATTCTGCAGATAAAAATAAGTAAAAAAGTTCGTATAAATATATGTCCTAAAATGCTTAGTTTCAGAGATACAGGGTGTAGAAGTTTCATT